TACAGCAATGAGATAGAATGAACTGGGTCCCTACATGATCTTGTGAAGTGGAGCCCGTGTCAAAGCACCTGCCTAATTCTAGATTCTGAAGTGAGAGAGAATTAAACTTGTTTCTTATTTGTGCTATTGTTTTCTTGGGTTTCTTTGTTTCAGAATCTTGTTTATATACTCAGTAATGTAACCACTTACCATCTGGGCATTAGAGTATATCTCAGGGAAATGCATTTGGCTCTTAATCTGAGTCAAAATTTATTTTGAAAATTTAGAGTTTATTGGTCAATTAGTAGACTCTAGAGGCAAATAAGCCCAGGCCCAACTAGACTGTGAATACTAATGAGGCTGCTTTAACATTAATGCTTTAATTTTAATAACTCATTATTTCTCACATGTAGGAAGGACCTTACTTGCTTTCCATGGGTGTCCTACCCATCCGTGATCCTCAATAATGGACTTCTCAGGTCACATGACACCAAAACTGCTAAGGGTCTTTGGGGAGAAGGACTTTTTTCTCTAACTCTGTAATGATATTGTTCCATTGCTGCCTGCCTTCCATTTTTACTGTTGGAAAGTCTGCTATGTTGAACTTGACATTCCTTTGTAGGTGATTTCTCTCTGTCTGCTTTAAAGATCTCTCTGTCTTTGGTGTTTAAAGTTTCACCAATATGTACCTAGGCATGTATTTCTTTTTATTTATCCTGCTTGTTATATGTTATGCTTCTTGAATCAGAGGACTTATGTTTTTCATAAGTTTTAGAAAATTTGCAGTTCTTAATCTTTTTAAGTGTTGCCTTTCCTCCATTTTCTCTTTTGATCCTCCTAGGTCTTTGATTAGATGTACCTTGGATTTAATCATCTTATTCTTCATTTCTCTTACTGACTCATTTTATATCTCTTCTCTCTTTGTGTTACATTCAAGGTTATTTTTTCAGCTATGTCTTCCAGTTCACTCATTTTCTCTTGGGCTGTGTTTAATCTGCTTTTTATCAGTTGAATTTTTATTTCAACAATTAAATTTTTATTTTTACAAATTCTCTTAAAGCCCCTTTTTATTTGTTTCTACAAATTTCTTGTTGTTTGATCATCTTTGTGATTGCATTTTATTTTTAAATTTTTATTTATTTTTATTTATTTTTTTTGTAGTACGCGGGCCTCTCACTGTTGTGGCCTCTCCCGTTGTGGAGCACAGGCTCTGGACACGCAGGCTCAGCAGCCATGGCTCATGGGCCTAGCCACTCCGTGGCATGTGAGATCTTCCAGGACCGGGGCACGAACCCATGTCCCCTGCATTGGCAGGCAGACTCTCAACCACTGCACCACCAGGGAAGCCCTATTTTTTATTTTTTAGATGTTGGGGTAGGAGTTTATTAATTGATTTATTTATTATTGCTGTGTTGGGTCTTCATTTCTGTGCGTGGGCTTTCTCTAGTTGTGGCAAGCGGGGGCCACTCTTCTTCACTACTAAATATGTATTTATTTACTTATTTATATATTTGGCTGCACTGAGTCTCAGTTACATCACACGGGATCTTTGTTGCACCATGCAGGATCTTCAGTTGCAACATGCAGGCTCCTTTAGTTGTGGCATGTGGGATCTAGTTCCCTGACCAGGGATTGAACCCAGGATCCCTGCATTGGGAGGGTGGAGTCTTAGCCACTGGATCACCAGGGAAGTCCCCTAAAGATTCTGAATTAATTTTTCTGCAGTGGGACCTGGGCATGGGTGTTTTCTTTTAAAGCTCCCCAGGAGACTTAATGTATAGCCATGTTTATGACCCACTGTCCTGTAGCATTGCTTTGTTCCTCTGGTCAACACCAGGTCACCATTACATCTCAATTCCAGCCAGCAGGAAGGAGAAAGAGAGTACACAGGAAATGTATGTGTTGTCATAAGACTCAAGCCAGGAAGTAGAACATGTCACTTCCTCTCAGTCCCATTGGTGGGAACTCAGTCACATGATCCCACCTAGCTGCAAGGGAGGCTGGAAAATGTCTAGCCAACCAACTAGGTTCCTGGCTATGATTCTATTACTTTGGAAGAAGAGGGAAATGGATATGGGACAAAGGATGGGGTCCAGAGAGCCAGTGGGTCTGTAGAGGTGGCTCTAGCAGTGACTGGCACTGGCCAATGTATTAATTTCCAAGTGTTGCCATACAAAGTACCACAAACTAGGTGGCTTAAAACAATAAAATTTATTTCCTCATAGTTCTGGTGGCTAGAAGTCTGAAATCAAGATGTTGGTGGTGCCACAGTCCCTCTAAAACCTTTGGGGGAGAATTCTTCTTTACCTTTTCCCAGCTTCTGGTGGTATGCCTGCAATCCATCTTGGCATTCCTTAACTTGCAACCGTAGCACTTCAATCTTTGCCTTGCTGTCACATGGTGTCCGCCCTGTGTCTCTGTATATCTCCTCCCCTTCTTAAAAGGACACCAGTCATATTGGATTAATGGCCCACCCTACTCCAGTATGGCCTCATCTTAACTAATTACATCTGCAATGACCCTAACAAGGTCATATTTGGAGGGACTGGAGGTTAGGGCTTAAACATATTTTTTTGGGGGGGAGGGCACAATTCAACCCATAGCAGCCAGGAACCAAGAACCAAAATGATGAAGAGCCCCTCAGTGGGACCATCATGGAGAGACAGTGCCTTGGCAACTTAGTTTACCTTTCTCCCTGCCTCATCCCCATCCTAGGCATCATCTAAGCCCCAGAAAACTAAGATGCAGCACTACGGGACCAAGAAAAGGCACCCCACCAAGCAGAAGAGCACCTCAAATTGCCTGAGATGAAGTTTCCACCACCCCCGCAGAATGGGGGCTTGAACTAGTCATGAAATTGTTACCAAAAAATAGTTACAGCTCTCAGGTATCCAAACTGGGCACTGAAATTTACACAAGCAACATCCTCAAGGGTTCGACAGAAGGAAGTGCAAACTCCTAGACCAGGGGTTGGTAAACTATGGCTCACCAGCCAAATTTGCTGGCTACCTATTTTTGTTTAAAGTTTTATTGGCACACAGCCACACCCATTCATATACCTACTGTCTATGCCTGTTTTGAATGCTACAAAGTTAGATTTGAGTCACTACAACAGAGACTGTACAACCCGCAAAGCCAAAAATATTTATTATCTGGTCCTTTACAGGAGTTTTCCAACCCTGGTCTAGATCAAGCTTTCAGATCCTCCACAATTTAAGACCAGTGTTTCAAGCATATACTCAACTATTCTACCACAAAAACTCTCCAATGTATTGAAACTGGTTTCTACAATACCTGCACCCTCTACGTTCATAGCAACACTATTCACAATAGTCAAGACATGGAAACAACCTAAATGTCCATCAACAGATGAATGGATAAAGAAGATGTGGGGTGTGTGTGTGTGTGTGTGTGTGTGTGTGTGTGTGTGTGTGTGTGTAATGGAATATTACTCAGCCATAGAAAAGAGTGAAATAATGCCATTTGCAGCAACATGGATGGACCTAGAGATTATCATACTAAGTGAAGTAAGCCAGACAGAGAAAGATAAATATCATATGATATTGCTTATATGTGGACTCTAAAAAAATGATACAAGTGACCTTATTTACAAAACAGAAATAGACCCACAGACATAGAAAACAGACTTGTGGTTTCTAATGGGGAGGGGGCTGGGGGGGATGGAGTGGGAGTTTGGGTTTAGCAGATGTAAGCTATTATATATAGATAGATAAACAACAAGGTCCTCCTGTATAACACAGGGAACTATATTCAATATCCTGTGATAACCATAATGGAAAGGAATATTAAAAAAGAATGTATATATGTATATATATATAACTGACTCACTTTGCTGTACAGCAGAATTTAACACATTGTAAATAAACTATACTTCAATAATAAAAATAAAAACTGGTATCTACTAAGTCCTCTAAGCCATCAGCTTTAAAAAAATTTTTTTGTCCCCCATCACAACCAGGAGAGAATCAAGACCCCACCTGTTCCCACTTTCCAATGGAAAACAATTGGGTGGTAAGAATGACACATCATCCTAAACACATCCTAAAAGTTGGGGAATTGTGCATACATCTGCTTTAGCGATACGAGTAGAGCTGATTTCTATTTTCACTCAAGGCATACATGACTTAAAGTCTACTTATTGAAAAATTATAGACCAAAAGTACAGCTGCTGCAAATGAGTGTTATTAAACACTGTAGGATTTGCCAAATAACCCATGACAAATTAAATTGATAATAACAAGCTAAGCCCATAGTAATTTATCATTAGCTAAGCAAAAACAACAGCATTTGAAAACCATGGCCTACTCAAGATAACACAAAGACAAAATGTTCCTTCAGGAAATTATGGAAATTCCTACTATTGGTGTACATGTGTGTGTGATGCTGTGGGGTGTTATTTGGCAGCCAGACTTCTAGGTGGAGCACCAAATTAGAAAGCTCTGTAAACAGTAGTAAATTTCTATTTTAAGTTTATGAACACTATGTTTTAGTAAAGCCTTAATGACTCACTTAGCATAGGCATAGTGGGTATTTGTTGGGTTTGGGTTTGCCTGTCCAACATGCATTTCTATTTCTTCTGTCAATATCTTTCTTCTGCTTTTCATTTGAGGAATCATTGTCACATTCTTTTTTTAAAAACATATGTATTTATTTGGTGGCGGTGGGTCTTAGTTGTGGCAAGTGGGCTCCTTAATTGCAGCTCACCGACTCCTTAGTTGTGGTATGCAAACTCTTAGTTGCGGCACGCATGTGGGATCTAGTTCCCTGACCAGGGATCGATCCCGGGCCCCCTGCATTGGGAGTGCAGAATCCTATCCACTGTGCCACCAGGGAAGTCCCGCATTGTCCCATTCTTACCCATGTGGTTTGAGAAGACCCAACTTTAGAACTGGGTATAGGACCAAGACCGGTCATTCAGTGTATTTTATCTCTTTGCTCATAGCTCAGCCATGAGCACATATCTCAAGCCGATGAGACTTAATCCCCGATTTCTGTCATAGTGGCTAAGCTTGGAGAATGGAACTGCCTAAAGCAGGGAGAGCCTGACAGCTAATGAAGACAGCACAAAGGGAAGCAAGGCTAAGAATGGAAAGAGACAGATTCCTGACACAGTTTGAGCACCTGGATCCAGCCAAGCCTGAAGCCAATGTGTGACAATCTCCCTTAAGAACCAAGGAAGGGATTTGCACTGTTGCAGGCCCCTCAAAACCATACTCTGAAAAAATTTTAACCTAAACATGCCAATAAAGTCACATTTTATAAGTGAAGTTTTATGCTGGAAAAATAAACCCCAGATGGGATTTTTGTTGTGTGTGTTATTGGTTGCTGAATGAAATTCAAGAGTATTTCCCCTTTCTGGAGTCTTTCTGAGGGAAAATACTTTTCAGATGTGATATGAGCTCAAAACTTTAGGCTTTAGAATATGATAATAAATGATCAAAATAAATCACCCAGAGAAAAAGCGAGAGAAGGAGAGAGAGAGGATGAGAGAGGAGTGACTGTGTTTTGAGAGGTAACTTGACGGTGGTTTTTCCAATTGTTCCAAACTGATCTATACAGATGTTAGACAAGGCTTGGCAAACATATGCTTCTAATTTCCTGAGTGCTGTGTTTGTTTGCTATAGCTGCCATGACAAAGTACCATAAACTCAGGGGCTTAAACACCAGGAATTTATTGTCTCACAGTTCTGGAGGCTAGAAGTCTGGGACCAAGGTGTTGGTAGGGTTGGTTCTTTCTGAGGGCTGTGAACAAGAATCTGTCCCATGTCTCTCTCCTAACTTTTGGTGATTTGCTAGCAAATTTTGACGTTCCTTGACACGTAGAAGCATTACCCCAATCTCTGCCCTCATCTTCATATGGTGTTCTCGTTGAGTGTGTGTGTGTGTGTTAAATTTATGCATTCATTTGTTCTATAAATATGTATTAGTTCTTGGTGTCTCCTGTTGATGACACGGCAATGAAAAAACTCCACGTGCCTTCCATCTCCTGACACTCACTTTTAAGGAGGATGGTGTGTAATTACAAATGGTGATAGTTTCTCTGATGGTGAAGCTCAGGGTACGACGAGGGAATAGAATTGGGGGACCTGGTTTAGAATGAGGAGGTAGAGGAAGCCTCTCTCCAAAGACGCATTTTGATCTAATGATTCTGATACCAATTCTAACGTGTGACTTTTTTCCCCACACCACCAAACAATTCTCCAACACGCTGGATGTCCCAGAGTTCAACTCAATTCCTACATTATCTACCTGGAGGTAGCGTCAGGGACCACAAGTTAAAGGCTCTGTCTCCACTGCAGTGGTATCTCCACTGCAGATACCAATCACAATTCCAGGTTGTTACCTGTACTTCTGACCAACTGGGTATAAATCAGAGGTTCCCAAGACCCCCTCCTTGGATTTGATTAATTTGCTAGAGCGGCTCACAGAACTCAGGAAACTAGTTTACTCACTAGATTACAGGTTTATTACGAGGGCTAATAAAGGATATGACTCAACAGACAGGTGAAGAGAGATACATAGGGCAAGGTCCTGAAAAAGGAACTTCTGTCCTCGTGGAGTCTGGAAGTGTTCTGGTTCACCAACCTGGAAGTTCTCTGAACCCCAATCTTTGACTTTTTTTGGAGGGTTCATTACATAGACGTGATTGATTAAGTCATGGGTCATTGGTAATTGAATTCAATCACCCCGGAGGTTGGGAGATGGGAGTGAAATTTCAAACCCTCTAATCACAAGGCTGGCTCTACTGGCAACCAGCCCACATCCTTGGGTGCTTTCCCTAACATAACAAAAGACACCTCGATCACTCTCTTCACAGAAATTCCAAGGTTTTAAGAGCTCTATGCTAGAAACAAGGATGAAGATCAAATAACGTATATTTCTTACTATAAATCACAATATCACAGATCTGAAGCTTCCCTTTCTCAGCTTGTCAATCCCAGGAAATTCCCATGCTTTCCTGCCTGTCCATTAAGTATCAGGAATTGTCGACGGCCAGGTGCCTAATCGCCTTAGGAAACCCTCACGGAAACTCTCCTTTCCCCCATGAGTGAGAAACATGGTCTCCAGGCAGCAAGGTTAAAGTTCTCTCTGATTTCATGTCACTTCCTTGGGAGTTTAGTTTTCCAAGACAAGAAAAAACAACAAAAAAAACCAGGTACCTAATACTGATTTGTGTACAACTTGCAGCAATTTTGAATAAAGCCCCTAAGAGAAATATTTCTACCTTTCTTTACTGTTACTTCATAATAAATTCTCAAAACGATTGCTCTGAAGCAAGGTGGTGTGATGCCTAAAATCTGCCTTGACATCTGGCAAGGAGGCAAGGAGGCAAGGAGGCAAGGGGGCAAGGAGGGAAGGGGGCAGGGCACAACCTTTAAAAGAATGACAGAACTGTTGAGGATACGAGAAAAACTGATTAGAACCTGTTAGGCCCAAGATGGCGGAAGATTCGACTTCCAGTGGGCCTTGGTGCTCACTGTAATACATTAGTACATGCTAAATGACACACCCACAGGCGCCAAGACAGTTCCGAGGCCGATCAAAAAAGGCCAAGGGCTTCCCTGGTGGCGCAGTGGTTGCGAGTCCGCCTGCCGATTCAGGGGACACGGGTTCGTGCCCCGGTCCGGGAAGATCCCACATGCCGCAGAGCGGCTGGGACCGTGAGCCATGGCCGCTGAGCCTGCGCGTCCGGAGCCTGTGCTCCGCAATGGGAGAGGCCACAACAGTGAGAGGCCCGCGTACCGGAAAAAAAAAAAAAAAAAGGCCAAAAAGCGGGTGGTGGCCCAATTCCTGGAAGTCTCCACCCCTTCTCCAAAATAGTTGGACTAATCCTCCCACTCGTTAGCTTAGGAAATTACCCAGACCGTAAAAACTATCCACCCCATATTTCGGGGCTGCTCTCACCTTCTGAGAAGGCCCACATTCTGTCTATGGAATGTGTATCTCTCTAAATAAACTTGCTTTCATTTTACTATGGCTCGCTCTTGAATTCTTTCCTGCACGAAGCCAAGGACTCTCACTTGGAAGCCCGTCCTAGGGACTCACCTGAGACCTGGGACATGACCATCCCCTCGAGCCCCATTTTCCTGCAACAAAACCAGGGGGGCATCAGATGACCTAATCATAAGTTTCCCTCCGCAAGCTGCTCTCTGGTCAAAAGACCTTTCTTATCAAACAGATCAGGCGCAGTGCCTGCTTACCCCTGAGTAGTGGGTTTCACTTCCCTGTCAGCCCCTGGAATTATTCAAACAAGCCAATCACATTCTCCCATGGGAGCCAAGGGCCACCTCACCCTCTTGTTACTGCTAAGTCTGCCTCCCACAGCTGCTGGCTGTTCACTTTGTTCCTGAGTACAATGTCCATGTGGCCCTGCGTGGCATGCAGTGTCCTCTTTTCCCCCCGGCTGTGAGTATATGTGACTAATAAACTGCTGTTGATCTCATCTGTCGAGTGTTGGGTGTTGTGTTTTTGGCCATGCCCAGAACCTAGGGCAGGAATCCCTCCCTCACCAATGGGGTGAAGGGGAGGTAATTAAAACAAGCAGTGTTTTTTGTCCCTCCCTCCCCCCTGCCTTCCCACCACCCTGCATACCTAAGGGATATGACACACCCCTCTTAGAAACACCATAGCTGTAAGCTCATAGTCTTTAACAGGGACTTAGCAGCCCCATGCAGGGTGGGTAGTCTTCGTGGGTGTGTGTGAAGGATTAAAAAGCCCCACAGGTGGAATCCTATTTGGCAATAAAATATGAAGCAGTATTCTAGAGCTAAAGTTTGTTCTGATGTTATTTTTAATCTCAGCAGAATGTATACCATGTCCCTAGAAAAAGTCTGAGGAAGATTCTGGGGGCCTGACACAAGATAGGGACAGATTTGGGTGTGCTAAGGCAGTCCTGTTTGTGCGTGGTTCTAGTTTTTATATTTCTGGGTATTTTTTTTCCTGAGAAAAAAGTTTCAGAGTTTAACTTGTTTGAAAACCCACTTGAAAAATGTGTGAGGTTTACACTACTGCAGAACAAATAAAACCATGTTTCTCAATTAAAAAAAAAAAAAGAACAAACCATGGATATTCAGAACAACGGGGATGGATCTCAAGACGTTACACTGAGTGAAAAACGTCTATCTGAAAAGGTTACATGTGGTATGATTCCATTTATATAAAAGTCTTGAAATGACATAATTATAGAGATGGAGAACAGATCAATGGTTGCCAGGGGTTCAGGAAGGGGAGTGTATGATTATAAAGGGTTAGCACAAGGAAGTTAGTTTGTGGAGAAGAAATAGTGCAGTAGCTTTATTGTGATGCTGGTTCTACAAATTTATACATAGAATAGAATCATGCAAACCACACATACACACACACACACAATACTCCCAGGTGATACTTTGGGCCAGGTGCTCCCACTCCAAGATGCAAAGCCTCTAACTTCTCAACCGCCCAATGTAAAAATGATTATGCATTTATCGATTTTGATTGAAAAAAAGTCAATTTGAGGTCATATGGCCTCTACCATCATTGTGTCTCCTCACTTTTACAAGGGACAAAAAAATCCTACGCAATTAACCCCTCAGTCAACCAGTATCTATTGAGTACTGATGCTGTGGGTGGACTGTACATTTCCCCTTGGCCTTCAACTTTCCTACATATATCAATGGCTTCTTACTATCTGCAACTTTGACTCTACCTGAGGGCTTTCTCTGGCTACAGGAAGCCACACTAACCATATATAAGATTGGCTAGATGTGTGGGGGAGTAAACACCTCCATGAGCAGCCCTCCAGTGATACATGGAAGGTGGAGGATAAATACCCCAGCTTTCTCATTGCTCTGGTGCAATAACTCTTAGGTACACGTTCCAAAGTGGTGCTGTCTTCCAAAGTTTCTCAGTGGATCAGCCTTCAGTAGTAACCTGCTCATTGACACACCTATGTGAGCTGCCTTCCTTTCACCGTTTCATATTCCTACTAACGCATCCTGTGTCTACCTCTCAGATAAACTACTTGCCCTTGAATCCTTGTCTCAGGCTCTGCTTCCAAGGGATTCAACTTAAGACAAGGCACCACGCTTGGCACTGTGGTGCCTATTTTGATGAGCAGAGGGGAAGTCAAACATATGAACAAGAGGGGGCTTCCCTGGTGGCGCAGTGCTTTAGAGTCCGCCTGCCGATGCAGGGGACACGGGTTCGTGCCCCAGTCCGGGAGGATCCCACATGCCGTGGAGCGGCTGGGCCCGTGAGCCATGGCCGCTGGGCCTGCACGTCCAGAGCCTGTGCTCCGCAATGGGAGAGGCCACAG